GGTGGAGCATACTCTCCAATATCTTTCTGAAAAGAAGCTCATTGGTGACAAAATGTTTGAAGATTTGCCTGAAAATATCTTTCTGCTGTCTTCATACCTGAGTAATGGTGGCCTGGATGTAGATTCACCTCTGTATAGAATTACAGGTTGGAATACTCTGAATTCTGAGTGTCGCTCCTCGCCTTTCTTGTGTTGGTTCCAATATTATTCCCCATTCTTGTATGTATCTCACTCTTTCTTGAAAAGTGGGGGGGCTTTTATTTAAGGTGATGTTCCAAAATATAATCAAAATTTTTTTGGCATGGGAAACCAGTGGATTTCCATAGATTTTTCAATCTTTTCATTCTAGAAAATTATCTTTTACTATTTCATTGGTGGCTTTCTACCCACCATGACCTCTCTCATTCTGGAATTATTTTAGTTGCCACATAATGAATTCATTCTCTAGCCTTCTTATCTTTTAATTTTTTGTAACTTTTCAACTACATGTATACTACTTTTTGTGACACTATTTAGACTTTTCTTTCCAGTTCTTTTATTAATTTTTCTAACTATAATATTTTTAATTCCCCTAGAGATCCTTATTGTTATCTGAATACTTGTTCAATCATCAAAGGAAGGAGGGACTTAGGTAATGTGGGCTTTCAGAAGCATCCATGAAACTGCCCAGGACACAAAGCATCTGACAGACCCAGAGAGCCTGAATCAATCACAAAACAGTGCAAACCAATTCAGAACTTTCTGATTTCCTTCTCTCTCTTCTTCTCCTGGTTTATAACTCTGTCAGAAATCATGGTTAGTTCATTGGGAGAGAAAAGATGGAAGCATAGGAGAGAAAGAAAGAAAGCAACATATATTCTTAAACAATGTGAGGTTGTGATTATTACACAACTGAATATTCTGATTTATTAATTGAGATATTGAGCTTCATTTTATTAAGAGAAAATTGAGATCCATTGGTGATGTACTTTAAAGATGCCTATAATAAAATCTAAGCTTTGTTATCAGAATATTGGGCTTATCAGGCCGGGTGCAGTGGCTCACTCCTATAACCCCAGTACTTTGGGAGGCTGAAGCAGGTGAATTACCTGAGGTTGGGAGTTCGAGACAAGCCTGACCAATGTGGAAAAACCCTGTCTCTACTAAAAATACAAAATTAGCCAGGTGTGGTGGGGCATGCCTGTAATCTCAACTACTAGGGAAGCTGAGGGAGGAGATTCACTTGAACCCGGGAGATGGAGGTTGCAATGAGCCGAGATCACACCATTGCACTTCAGCCTGAGCAACAAGAGAGTGAAACTCCGTCTCAAAAAAAAAAAAAAAAAAAGAAAGAAAAAGAATATTGGGCTTATCATAAAGTGCCAGATGGATCATAGGGACAAGATATTGGAGAAAAAGAGCCTAGGCAAGATTAATGATATTTGTCCGGGGGGAGATTATGAGACTCTACTTAGTTCAGTGGTCATGGGTGGGGCCTTAAGGGATAAACGTCAGGAGACTCTGCATGAATGAATCCTACATCTTTGGTAAACCTCAATCTCAGATTTTGGACCAGATTTTCTTAGAAATTGGTGATACCCTCATCAAAGAAGAAATCTAGGAGGTGAATCAGAGAACATGGACATAGAGACATGTGCTGACTGTGAGATGCTGACAGGTCTGAGAGAGCACGTCCAGGGGTAAAATATAGGCCCAGCTTCCCTTCCCAGGTATCTTCCTGGGCCTCCCAGACAGCAGCAGCCCTTAGAGTCTTTTTTTTTTTTTTTTCTTGAATGGTGGTTTAAAAAAAAACATAACATTTGTCACTTCAACCATTCTTAAATGCATAATTCAGTGACCTTAAAGACATTCACAATGTTGTCACCATAGTTACTTCCAGAAAATTATCATCATTCCAATCAGAAACTCAACAGCCCTTAAATAATGGCTTTTAATGCCCCCCTCCCTGCCCCAGCCTATTCAGTCTTGCTGGATTTCATGGCACAGTATTTTAATAGCAGCTCAGGAAGGAAAACCTTTCCACAGGTGCCCCCAATGTGGTTAGTCGAATAATGGTGAAAGAGTGAACACATCGCAACCCCTAGTCTTTAAAGGCTCTGAAAGTAGCTAAGGAAAAGGCCTCGAGGTAACAGCCCTGGTGATGCTGGGAGTCCTGTGAGTATCACAAGGGGCTCTTGTCCCAGCTACTGCCTCCCCAAGTCACTGGATGACTTCACCCATAGGAGCTGAAGGCACAAGAATGGGGATGGCAGGGGCTCTACTTACACAGAGATAGACACATATGCCCCAGATGGAGCCTGAGCATCACTTAATTTCAACAGCTTCCCAGTGGATTCCAAAATAGAGCCAGCGTTGAGAATCATTGGGTGGGGCATTAGTTATTCTCATGTTCTTTAGTGGGAACAATCTTGGACCTTCTTGGGTACTAGGGAGGATGAAGTGAGAGAGAATTTGGAAGCCTTCCAACCAAATGCACATCAGGCTGGGCGAGCTGGCTCACGCCTGTAATCCCAGCACTTTGGGAGGCCAAGGTGGGCAGATCACCCGAGGTCAGGAGTTCAAGACCAACCTGACCAATATGGAGAAACCCTGTCTCTATGAAAAATACAAAATTAGCTGGGCGTGGTGGCACATGCCTGTAATCCCAGCTACTCGGGAGGCTGAGGCAGGAAATTCACTTGAACCCAGGAGGTGGAGGTTGCAGTGAGCCAAGATTGGGCCATTGCACTCCAACCTGGGTAACACTAGCAAATCTCATCCCCCCCAAAAAATGCATATCAGATGATCAATGAATAGAAACTTTTAGTAATTGTAAGCATTATAATAATGATTGCTATAATTTGAGTGCTTTATAGCATTAATTTATTTAATATGTTCTCACAACAATACTATGATATGCATCCTATATCACAGAAAGATAAACTGATAATAAAAGAGGGATGTCTGTGTATCTGGGAATATGTGTGTAAAGATATAATATAAGGTATGGGAATCCTAGAGGGCTTCACAGAGGAGGAGACACGTGAAGTGGATTCTATAAATGAGGTTGTCAGATACCATAGTGAGAGAAGGCTGTAGAGGGAAAGGGAGACCCATACGCACTTATGCAGGAGTGTGAAAAACATGAGGCCTAAGAAATGAGATATAAACAAGTATGACTGAGCAGGGTCTCGGAAGCCCTTGCGTGCAACACAAGCGTGTGGACTTGCTTCTCCAGCAGTGGTTCCTCTCTGGTTTTCTCTTGGTGTTTTGAGAGCTCCATAAATTCTTGTATCTGCCACACACAGCAGCACATGCTACGCCTGCTGATAATAAGTTTCATATATTTAGTTTCTATGTTTAAGTGTACATAATTTCTGGTGTGATTAAAATACACATTTCTTTTAAAAGCAATGTTTAATTAATAATAAATTATCTACTCTTTTGCCAATTGTATAATGATGACTATGATTATATAAAGATAGATTTGGGGTAAAAAAGAATTTCCCTTACTTGAAACCCTTGAGAACCAGTGCCCTCTGGTCATTTAGAGTTGTTGACAGGAGAACAGGGTCATGTTTTAAATTTAGGAGACTCACTGTGGCATGAATGAGAAGGATGTATTGTAGGGAGCCTTCACAGAGGCTGCAAGACAATTTAGGAGAATTTGGTCTGAGCTGGGAAGGACATAGACCGCACTGTGATGTGACTGTGTGATGGGAAAGAAGCAACGCACGAAGGTGATTCTGGGGTGACGGAGGGAATAGAACCCAGTGCACTGTTAGGAGTCAGGGGGAGGAGGAGCTGCAGTTGGCGGCCTCATGACCGTCCTGAAAAAACCCACATCCTAATCCCTGAAATCTGTGAATGTTCCATTATGTGTCAAAAAAAGCACTTTGCAGGCATGATTAAGTTAAGGATGATGAGATGGGGTGTTATTCTGAATAGTCTGTGGGGTCCCAAAACCAAACCTGTGTAGTTTGTGATTAAAAGTCAGAGTGGGTGGGGCTTGATATAGAAAGAAAAGAGGAAGGGAACCTAACATGGAGGCAGAGGTTGGAATGATGAGGTCATGGGACCAGGACAATTATCAGCCCAGAAGCCAGAAGCAGCCCTTAGTGAATTCTCCCCAAGAACCCCAGAGGGAGCAGAGCCCTGCTACCCACTGACCTCTTCACAGTGATACTAATGTTGGGCTTCTGACCCCGGAGATGCCTGAGAATTGGTTGTTTTAAGCCACAAAGTTTGCAGAGTTTTGTCCCAGTAGCCACAGGACACTTGTGGCATCTCCCTGTGTCCTGGTCAGGGGACTTGCTGGGTGGGTGCATTAGCCTGGATGGGCTCATGGAAAGGAGAGCAGGCTGGGGGCAGACCCTGTGCTCCGTTTCACATCCTGCTCCTGAAATGACTGTGGAGTGCGCACTGGGAGCTGTCCAGTTGGCAGGGGTGCTGGTCTCTGGAGCTTTTGGGAGAACCTGAGGAAGGAAGCGTTTGCCTCAGGTGCTGGTGAGTAATGCAGACACTGATGAGGGCTCTGGGTGTGGGGAGTGAAATAATGTGAACTCCAGGCTGAAAACTGAAGAGGCCCCCAAATTGTGATCAATGGAAAATAAAGTATACTGGACATGACAGGGGAGAGAAACCATAGTGCAGAGGTGGACCCAAGCAGGCTGACTGTGGGTCTGAGGGGACATCACAGTAGTCTCTACTGGGTGGTAACCCCGGGCCTGGACACCCATTCAGGCTGGGGTTTCCTCAGTACAAGACAAGCAGGAACGTTTCAATTCCTGTTTCCTCGTGACCACTGTTTTTATTCATGGCCGCAGGATGGAAAATCTGTAAGGAATGCAGGATGATTCCTATCAAATATTTCCCTCGGTGACACCTGGACTCAGGCTCCATTGGTAACACAACCCTGGTTCTCTGGAGTTAATTATCACCCACAGCAAAAGACTACTCCTCTATGGAAACCAACCTCTACCCAAGGCTCGAGACTGTAGGATTATAACAAGACCAGTGGAGACGTGCAGGGCAAGTGATTTATTAAGGCAAGACGTTGAAACCTTTACATTCCGCAGTGAAGAGCAGGGTATCATTGAAAGATGGTGGAAACCAGGATGGAAGTTTTTACATGTCACTTGTTACATTTTTCCACGATTTTCAACTGAAACAGAAAAAGAAAAAAGCAAGGAAGGTGGGGTTGGTCATGTTGCTGCTGGAGATGACAGGCTAACATCCAAGAGGCCAGTGGAATTCTGCCCCCAAAGGCAATTGGAAGGGCAGAGGCAACAACTCAGTTTGGGAAACTGAGGCCTAGATCTTGTGGCCTCACAGCACCCTTTCCTCACCAGGGCAATAGCCCTGGAAGGATCCAAGAGTGAGGCCTGGGATCCTCATAGAAGGAAGAGAGGAGGGGTGGACAGAGCAGCCAGAGGTCATTGTCCGAGCTGTCCCAGGTCTTGGAGTCTCCTGTTTCCTGCAATGGGGGACCCAGGGCTGAGAGGCTGGTCAGGGCTAGGATGGCCTCTGGGAAGCCTGGCTTCCAGTAACCTCCAGCCTCCCTTTGTGGGAATTCTGCCTCAGGGCCCAGGCACTTCTCAGTCCTGAGCCTGTGGTTTCCATAGACATTTGCAGCTAAACCTCAGGACAGCAACCGAAAGGCAGCCAGGTTGAGAGGCCCGGAAAGCCTCTGATTTCTTGAGAAAGACGGAGTGAGAACATCCTGCTTCCATGGCACTGCAGGAGGTAGAGTCAGGAGGGTCTTTGCCCACTGCGGTCAGGAGAGCCTCGTGGGTGAGGAGGGGAGCATGTGGTCTGAGGAGCTGGGAGGGGCTCCTTACTGGCTCTGCAGAAGCTACCGAGAAGTCCAGCTTACCAGCGCTGCATCTGCAGGACCCCCTGCTCTAGGTCCCTCTCTGCCTTCCCCTGCATGTTCAAAGCTTCCATCTCCCCAGGCCATTCCAGAGTGACATCTGGGATGAGGACAGCTTGGTCTCAGTAAAGCTCCCAGCAGGGAGGCACCCATGCTTGGTCCTTCACCATCCCTGCCTGGGCCCAGGCACACTCCCTGTGTCCTCAGCACACTCTGGGGACACAGCATCCAGGAAGGTGACCTGAGAAGGAGAAACATGCAGGATGCTGTGTGCAGCTGAGTTTAATTCTGCAGGTGAAATGGTAGCACCCACTCTGTGGCCCTGAGTGACCTTCTCAAGAGGTGACCAGCAAGACAGGTGCCCCATCACCTGCACCCCCCACAGAGCAGCAAGCTGACCTCACTTCACACTATGCAGCTGACCAGAAGCCTCGACACATAAAGGAAAAAGAAATTACCAGGGCTACTTCAATTGGGCCTCGTTTCTCAAGGGACATCTGATCTGTGCATTTCTTCACTTCCAACTTGGCTGCAACAGCTTTTGGAGGAGCATTAAATTTGGCAAGTTGTAACTTGAACGCAGGTTCGTCAACGAATAAGAAGCCCAATGTCTCAGAAAGAAGAGCTGGGCAGACCACGGCGTTGGCTGCAGCACAAGAATAAAAATATAGTTGATGTTAGGAAAGTCGATTCTTCTCTCACGGCTCCCTGATGTTAGACCAGACAGGATCCCCTGGGTTCTATGTTCTCATGCCTTTGTTGTGCTGATGACAATCCCAGACCTCTAGGGTTGACTTCCTCAAGGTCACACAATAAAGGGAGAACTTCATATCAACAGCTAAATTCTTTCTCTTTTTTTTCTTTTTTTTTTTGCGACAAGGTCTCCTTTTGCCATCCAGGTGGAGTGCAGTGTACTCAATCCCGGCTCACTGCAGCCTCGACCTCCTGGGCTCATGTGATCTTCCCACCTCAGCCCCCCAAGTACCTACAACTACTAGTGCATTCCACCAGGCCTGGATGATTTTTTGTATTTCTTTTTTTGTAAAGCTGGGGTGTCACCATGTTGCCCAAGCTGGTCTCAAACTCCTGAGCTCCAGCAATCCGCTTACCTTGACCTTCCAAAGTGCTAGGATTACAGGCGTCAGCCACCATGCCCTGTCCACAGCTAGACTCTTTCGACAGAATTAATCTTTCTTACTCCATTCCCATAGCCACTCCTGACAGAAGCAGAAGTACTAACCACCAGTGATAGGACGAGGCTCAGGCAGAGGGAACACTATGCCCAAGGTCAAAGGGCTGGGAAGTAGCGAGCCCAGATTCACCCCAGACCTCACATGACATCATCTGACACAGATTCCATCCAGGAATGAAGCTCAGGCAGAAGAACATTTGCCTGCACAGATTTTCTATAAAACTTCCTAGGTGCTGGGGAGTAGAAGAAATAGCTCTGAATTTTATAAGGGGCTTGTTCAACGAGCACAGAAAAAGGTTCGGAGGTTTAGTTTTGTACAGATCCCAACCCCAGCCTGAATAGGTGACCTCATGCTCAGAGCAGGGTGCTTCCCAGGGGCTGGTGCTGAACTCATGACTGATGTACTCACCCTGGTAGCAGCAAAGGGCCAGCATGACCAGCAGGAGACACACCGACAGCCTCATGGTAGCTTATCTTGCTGCAAGGTCAGCTTTCACAATCAATGAGTGATTTGGACTCCACCCCAGGAGCCTATAGAGCTGCGGAGTCCAGGGCTATTTGTACCTAGGGAGCCTAGCTGGCACTGGCCCCAGGGCCTGGCTCCCAGCCTGCCCCTCCTACCCACAGCTGCTGCCATCCATCAGGGTCACCTCCCAATGCCTCCCTGCATCCTGAGTGGGGCGGAGCACAGGAGGGCAGCCCTGTGGGAACTCTGCTCTGTGCTCCAGGTGAGTTCAGGCACCTCTGGAAATATTCCCAGGATTCTCAGTTTCCTTCTGAGCTTTTGCTGATTATTTCTTTTTTTCTTTATATCACTGTAGGGGCACAGGTGAATTCTGACTTCGGCAGGCATAGGAAGCTGGAAGGCTGAGTTTTGGTTATGGGAGAGCGGGGACATAAGGAGACCCTGCTTTGATCCCCCTGCATGTCTGACAGCCAGCCAGGCTTTTTCAAGTGCACATTAAGCAAGTCTAAACAAGACCTACCCTTCCCCTCAGCCCCTTCCATCACCACCATGTTCACTGCATAGGTACCTAAAACATAGGTGAATACGTGCAAAATGGTACAACCATTTGGAAGACAATATGGCAGTTTCTAACTAAAGTGAGCAATTCTCACCATAAATTCCAGTAAGTGTGCTCCTTGATATTGATGTAAATTAAGACAATCTACTAGAAAACTTTCAAAAGAATATGAGTACAAAAGTTAGCTGAATATATGATCAGAATATACAAATCAATTGCTTTCGTGGAAAGCAGCTACACCTTTACATACCATTATGGAAAATGGTTCTTTGACAAGAATATGAACAGCAGCAGCAAAAATATGTTGAAATCTGTCTGAGTGGAGATATGCAAGCCACTAACAACAGAGTCGTGAAATCTTATTCACAACATAAAAAGGAAATTTAAATAAATAAAGCCACACACCTGTTTCCTGGAAGAAACAGTAAAAAATTCAAAGATGTCAACTAGGCTTTATTGTTCTACAAATTCAATGTCACCTCTTACAGACTTCTTTCTAAACTCTTATTTTAGATTTGGGGTACATGTGCAGGTTTGTTACATAGGTCAACTGGTATCATGGTAACAAATAATCATGGTGTACAGATTATTTCATCACTCAGGTATTAAGCCTAGTACCCAACATCATTTTTTCTCTCTCCTTTCACTCTCCACACTCAAGTTGGCCCCACTGTCTATTCACCTCTATGTGTCCATGTGTTCTCATCATTTAGCTCCCACTTTTTTTTTTTTTTTTTTTTTTGAGACGGAGTTTCGCTCTTGTTATCCAGGCTGGAGTGCAATGGCGCGATCTCGGCTCACCGCAACCTCCGCCTCCTGGGTTCAGGCAATTCTTCTGCCTCAGCCTCCCAAGTAGCTGGGATTACAGGCATGCACCACCATGCCCAGCTAATTTTTTGTATCTTTAGTAGAGACGGGGTTTCACCATGTTGACCAGGATGGTCTCGATCTCTTGACCTCGTGATCCACCCGCCTCGGCCTCCCAAAGTGCTGGGATCACAGGCTTGAGCCACCGCGCCCGGCCTAGCTCCCACTTTTAAGTGGGAACATGCAGTATTTGGTTTTCTGTTCTTGCATTAGGTTGCTATGGATAGTGGCCTTCAGCTCCATCCATGTTCCTGGAAACAACATGATCTGATTCTTTTTTATGGCTTTATAGTATAACATGGTGTATATGTGCCACGTTTTCTTTATCCACTCTGCCATTGATGGACATTTAGATTGGATCCATGTCTTTGCTATTGTGAATAGAGCTGCAATGAATCTATGCCTGCATGTGTCTTTATGATAGAATGTTTTATATTCCTTTGGGTGTATACCTAGTAATGGGATTGCTGGGTCAAATGATAGTTCTGTCGTTAGCTCTTTGAGGAATTGCCACACTGATTTCCACAAGGGATAAACTAATTTATACTCCCACCAACACTGTATAAGCATTCCCTTTTCTCTACAACCTTGCTGGCCTCTAACAGCATCTTACTAGGGCCGTTTGATTTTTTTTGTTTAATTCTGAAATGCTGTTTGGATCTTTCAAAATTAGAATGTATCCATGATTGAGGAGTGAGGAGACGCCCAATTTTGGGACAAGACTATGTGGGTTCAAGCTCTACCCTGGCATTTTCTATTTGTGAGTTCTTCAGCAAGTGGCTTAGCCTTGAAGCCATAGTTTCCTCATTTGTAATCTCGGGTGGTGAAAACAGTACCTATTTCACAGGATTCACATAAGAAATGAACTAATGGAGGAAAATACACATCACAGCATCTCAGCACCAAATGTCAATTTCTACACTTATGTAACTAAAGGAAAAAAAATAAATGAAAAGGTCAAAGAAAATCAATCACCTCTTTCTCAACAAAATATCAAACCGAATCTAACTGATTCTGCCAGCAAGGAAAGTTTACCTCCCGTAAGTCCTAACAAAGAGTGCTTCAGAATTTGGTTCTGGTTTCCTTAGGATTTTCCACAGTTAAGATCATTACTTTTCAATAACCTAATTTATTGTTTTATGGTTAGATGAAAGTGACCATTATTATGATGTTGTTAATATCCTTAATAATGAGTCTTGGACCTAAGTCTATAGGATGGTGGGAGGGGGTTACTGATCCCCAAAACACGCAGAGTCCTTGGACACCTGTCCTCACCAGGATGTGTTGCTCCTGGTGTCCTTCTGCCTGAAGCTACTACCCAGGGATTTTCTAGGGATTGGACTTCAAACAGTTGAACATCTTCCAGGAAAATGGAAACCTTAAGAAGATCAGTCGAGATGCTCACGTCCTTTGACTGGTAATCTGTGTGAGTTGGAGAAAGTGCCACACCCTGAGTTCAAATCACAAGTCCTTTACTGCCAGTGACCAAGAGTCAGCTCACACTCAAAAATCTCTCAGCCCCAGGAAGGGGCTGGCTTCCTTTTTATACCATACTTAGGAGAGGGGAGAGGGAGTCTAGCTGAAGCAGAATTTTACAGAAGCAGAACAAGCAAGTTAGATAAGGAAGCTGGTAACTAGGAGGCAGGAGGCTCTCATGGCTGTTGATGAACTAAGGAGGGTATACACAAGCGGTTCCCATGATTGCTGGTTACCAGGGGGTATTCAGTACTTACCATACAATCAATCAAGGAGGGCATTCACAATAGCAAGTGGGCTTGGTTACAAAGCCTATATGCTTCCATAGCAGCATGACCCAACACAGTAGCATGACCCTGGTATGCACTCAAGAGAGAAATGGCAGGAGGGCTGAGGTGGAGGTTAAGTTGGAGTCTGTCTGGCTCTCAGCAAGATGGAGTCTGTCAGGTTAACATAGGTTAGGCTAGCACAGATCATACACGTACTGGGTGGTCACCATGGTTCTCTTTTCCACCTCCTCTTCCACATAAAGGAATCTCAGAGGGAGAACTGCCTGCCAGAGAACTGGGTCAGGTCCTCATCACACCTCTTCTTGACTTCCCCACAGTCTGTAAGGTGTGCTTGAGGTGACTGCATGTCTTTGTAAGTCAGCCCCACGTGTGAACGACACACATAAGCACGCAAACCATAACCATATCAGAGGTACAATGTCAAGCGGGGACATTTGAGTCTCCTGCAAGCACCGGTGCCACTGGAGATGATGAAATGATGTAGATTTTCTTCATCTTGTTCTGGAGAGGCAAGCAGTTACCCTATGGCACCCACAGCAGGCTTAATGACGTGCTTTGTACATTTGGGGAAAATTTCATGGAGAAGCAGAACGAATAACGTCAGGATATGTGAGATAAACAAGGAAACTGACCGGCTGATCCTCACTGTGCGTTCCTAGGGACTGTTTACAGTGATGAACTTGACATTTTACTCAGGAGAAAAGCCTTTCTTCCCCAGCAATCCGCTGCACTCAAAGAGACAACAAAAATCTTTTTTTTTTTTTTGAGACGAGTTTCGCTCCTGTTACCCAGGCTGGAGTGCAATGGCGGGATCTCGGCTCACCACAGCCTCTGCCTCCTGGGTTCAGGCAGTTCTCCTGCCTCAGCCTCCTGAGTAGCTGGGACTACAGGCACGCGCCACCATGCCCAGCTAATTTTTTGTATTTTTAGTGGAGACAGGGTATCACCATGTTGACCAGATGGTCTCGATTTCTTGACCTCGTGATCCACCCGCCTCGGCCTCCCAAAGTGCTGGGATTACAGGCTTGAGCCACCACACCCAGCCAAAAACCTTTTGTTTTACATGTTACTGGTTCCCCTAACATCATTAAATCTGGTACTTACACACAACAAACTTTCCAGCTATTAACTCTTCAATAGGTCAGACAAATGGCCACCAATTAGCTAAAAAATCAAAACCAAGACTCCAGATTACAATCATGGGATGCATGACAGGGCTCATATTTTGTAGCTCCAGATTTGTTTTTTTCTAATGTGTCTCATCATGGCTAAAACACAAGATCTGTGTATTTCACATCGAAGAACCTTGTGGTAGATGGCTCCTGTGGGTTCCCTAGTGGAAGGCACTGCGGGGAGACTGGGAGACTGGAGGAGGCAGAAGTCATGTTTCTCTGCTGCTGACATTGCCTCTTGCAGTGATTATGGCAGCAGCGTCTGCAGCATCCAGCAGCCCCGCAGGGAAGAGTCCATAGTGATGGCTTCCATTCCTGCTGAGGTGGCTCCATTTCATCAAGAGCAGCCTCCCCTTTGCCTGAAGTCTTGGGATCTGGGCAGCACCATTTTTCCTTTTATCTTCCAGCCCTAGGGGTGATATGATCTTCCTGCCATTATCAATCAGTGGGCATCATTCACAACGCCATTTTTGCCTCTGCAACCCATCAAACCCACTAATACCAACTCCTGTGTGAAATTTTCTTGGTTCAGTTTACCTATAATGTTTTATATTTTTTGACTGGACACTGGCTGGTAAACACTGGAATAGCAAATCTTAAATGAGTGTAGACTTGGAGATGTATGGCTTGCAGAATGACAAAGGGAAGAGAGAAGTCCTGTCATGGGCAGGGCTATATGTCACACGGCCTGCCAATTAGAGAGAGAATTACTGAGCG